AAAAAAAAAAAAAAAAAAAAAAAAAAAAAAAAAAAAAAAAAAAAAAAAAAAAAAAAAAAAAAAAAAAAATCTGATCCAGGAAAAGGCTAAGTAGAAAGACCAGCACCCTGAAGTTTGTAATTAATAACAATGGAAACTCCATTGCTACCTTGTTCATGTAATCAACAATGTGTGAGTCGAAATAAAGTAGTGAGCTATACGTTTCTGTCTACATACCAATATACCAATCGACAGGAAAGGAAGAAATTGCTCAAATGTGACTACTGTTAACAAACATGTTAACACACATCTAAATATTAGAGATAGTCTCTATTAATATCGTAACCTATCAATTCTGAAACCACTCCTTCAACTTCTGTTGTTTTTAATTCCCCCTAAAAATACAAACAAAAGAGCAGCCACCTTTAAAATGTAAATTTCTCCCTTTTACAAAGTAACCTGCCAAGGAAAATTTAATGCGTTAAAATAAAATGTAACAGACAAACCAATTACAACATTAAAAAAACTAAAATGATCAGTAACAAACCAATCGCTCAAGTTTAGCAAAGCATCTGTTTTTAATCTGTTGTGGGTATCCTATTAAACTAATAAGCAACAACGTTTTCGTCTGTTGTGGGTATCCTATTACACTAATAAGCAACAACGTTTTAATCTGTTGTGGGTATCCTATTATACTAATAAGCAACGACGTTTTAATCTGTTGTGGGCATCCTATTACGCTAATAAGCAACAACGTTTAAAAGTCATCCCAATGCCTAACACACCACCATACACATAACATACTTGTCCTTTACGCCAATGAAGCTTAAACTCAGACCATTACCCCCTCCTGGCACACTGAAATATACAGGGGAAATCCAAAAAATCAAGTATGTTAAATGCCGGCATCTTCTTCCAGAGTAGGGTCAAATTCGTGTTTGCCCGAAAATGTCACCGTCCCAGGAAGTCTGCAAATCCTCACTAGCGCTGGAGTACAAAGAGGCCTGACCACGGAAACACCTGTCCTAGCACCAGGAAGACACGTGGAAACGCAGCAAGCCCCCTAAGTCCGCGCTAGCCCCAAAGCCTCCGCTGCAGCGATGGGGGAACAAGAAGTGGCCGCTGGCCTCGCGGGTGCGGCGGACAGGGTCCCATGCCCGCGGCTCGCCTCCCGAGAACCAGGAAAACTGTCAGGCCGGCACGGACCCACCCTCCTCAGACCCTCGCGCTCCAGCCCAGCGCGGCCCCCGCCCGACAGACCGCACCCCGACCGCCCGGGCCTGCAGTTGCATTGCCACCTCATCCCTCCCTGGCGGCCTCGAGACCCCTTAACCTTCGCCGCGCGGCCTGGGCTCAGGCCAACCCAGGGGCAGGAGCGCCCAGCCGCCGCCCCCCGCCCGGCCCGACCCCAACCGAGTCCGTTCCCCAGCCGCTCGGTCCCCGCGTCCCCAGGTCCGAGCTCCCGCCTCGCGCTCCCCACCCCCAGCCTCCGCCCTCGCCCCGCGCGGCCTCTCCCGCCCACTCCCCAGTGCCGGCTACCTGGAGGTAATGGCTGCTGAGCACTTCACCCGGGGGCCAGGTTGCAGAGGGCCCGGTGCTCGGGGTCCCGCTCCTACTCCCGCTCTATGTGGTTGGCGTAGAGAACAGGCTCCGGAAGGCGCACACAGCTACCAGGCCACCCGCTCCCAGGGAAACACCGGCGCTATCGGCAGGAAGCACGCCACCATCATCTTCCGCCTCCCGCCGCCTCAGCAGGCGGTCCCGGCCAGACCCAGCGGCCGCTGCCACCGCCCCTGCCGCCTCCGCCGCGCCACATTGGCTCGGTCGCTCGCTCCGGGCCCGCCCCCGCAAGCGCGCGGCCCAAACGCCGGGAAAGCAGGGAGGCGGGAGGGAGCGAGGAAGGCGCGCGCGGGAGCGGAAGGAGCGGGCGGAGCGCGCAACCACCCGGGAGGCGGGATTGGCCGGCGGAGACAAAGCCGGCGTGTCGTGGCGCGCGTGAAGGGCGGGGCCCGGGTGGCGGCGGGGCCGGGGTGAGGGGCGGGACCGGAGTGAGGGAGGGACTTAGGGGAGCCGTTGCCAGGGACACCTTGCAACGATCCCACAGTGGGTGACCGGGAGAGTCCTCGGCCGGCCCCTCCCTCTGGGGATGGCAATTGGTTGCCATCCTTTTTCCCTTTTTCGCCGTTATCACTTGATATTTCTTACCCAATCCAAATCACCCCTGGCCAACGCTTGAGGCTCCTGAGCTGAGCCACCCTCCTATGACCTGATCTTCCCACCACCAGCTTCGGGAACTTTGTGTTCAACCTGTGCAAATCTTTTTTTGTTTAATGTGCAAAACTTAAACAAAAATAGTTTTTTTTTTAATTAAAAATAGTTTTTTTAAAAATTAAAATAGTTTTTTAATTAAAAAACTATTTTAAAAGAATGATTCATGGGCTGGGCGCGGTGGCTCACGCCTGCAATCCCAACACATAGGGAGGCCGAGGCAGGTGGATCACTTGAGGTCAGGAGTTCGAGACTAGCCTGGCTTACATGGCGAAACCCCTGTCTCTACTAAAAATAAAAGTAAAACATTAGCCAGGCATGGTGGTTCACGTCTGTAATCCCAGCTACTTGGGAGGCTGAAGCACGAGAATCACTTGAACCCGAGAGGCAAAGGTTGCAGCGAGCGGAGATCGCACCACTGCATTCCATCCTGGGCAATGGAGTGAGAGTCTCAAAAAAAAAAAAAAAAAAAAAAGTACAAATGCCTTGCTCTCTTGCTCTCTGTAAGCTGAATTTGAGGTGGCTTACCATAATTCATACCATATAGAAAAATATAGATCAGCTAATAAAATCAGTACAAAGAAAAGGAAAAGTCAGGCCCAGGCGTGGTTGCTCATGCCTGTAATCGCAGCACTTTGGGAGGCAGAGACAGGTGGATCACCTGAGGTCGGGAATTCAAGACCAATCTGACCCACATGGAGAAACCCTGTCTCTATTAAAAATACAAAAGTAGTCAGGCATGGTCACGCACAACTATGATCCCAGCTGCTACTCTGGAGGCTGAGGCAGGAGAATCCCTTCAACCCGCGCGGCGGAGTTTGAGGTGAGCGGAGATCAGGCCACTGCTCTCCAGCCTGGGCAACAAGAGCGAAACTCCATCTTGTTTCAAAATAAAAAAGAGAAAAAAAGTCAGAATAAAATGAAAGGCCAGGAATAAGAACACAGATGAGCAGGTCATAGGGCCTTACACTGTTATTAAAATTGGGTCATACATTAGGCTCTGAGCTTCCTGGTGGCCAAAACTAAAAGGAAAACACATGTATGTGCTTTTCTCACCATCACTAAGAAGAAACAGAGTGTTCTTGGAGACTCTCAGCATTTCCCTAGTTGCAGCTTTCAATTTTTCAGGGGCTTTATATATTGATTTTGAGTAATAAGCAATATCCTTGTATTCGTTACCTATGGTTGGGTAAAAATCGCCCCAAATTTAGCAGCTTAAACAACACACTTTTTTTCCCTTACCGTTTCAGTGGGCTTGGAATCTGGGTGAGGTTAGCTGTGTCCTCTGGCTCAGGCTCTCACAAGGATGCAATGAAGCTGTCAGTCAGGGCTGCAGCTCTCTCAGGGCTTCAGGATCCTCTTTCAAACTCACTTCCATGGCTCCTGGCAGGCCTCAGCTCCTCTCTGTCTGTTGGCTGGAGACCTCAGTTCCTGTCCACTTGCACCTCTTCATAAGAAGCAGCTGGCTTGCCCCAGGGCTAGGGAGGAGAAAGAGGAAGAGAGAGAAAATGAAAATGAGAGAGAGATCACAGTCCTTTTTTGTAACCGAATCCCAGAAGTGACATCCCATCACTTTCACATATTCTATTGCTACTTAGAAAATAGCACCTAGGTCCAGCAAGTCACGATGGCTCACACCTGTAATCCCAGAATTTTAGGAGGCTGAGGTGTGTGGATCACCTGAGGTCAGGAATTCAAGACCAGCCTGACCAATATGGTGGAACACTGTCTTAACTAAGAATACAAAAATTAGCTGGATGTAGTGGAACATGCCTGTAATCCCAGCTACTTGGGAAGCTGAGGCAGGAGAATTGCTTAAACTTGGCAGGCAGATGTTGAAGTGAGCTGAAATTGCACTAGTGCACTTCAGCCGGACCTAGAAGTTGAAACTCTGTCTCAAAAAGAAAGAAAGAAAGAAAGAAAGAAAGAAAGAAAAGAGTCCCAATAGTCCCTAGGTCCAGCCCATGCTCAAAGGGAGAAGATTATACAGGACATGAATATGAGGAGGCTGTTTACCACAATCCTCAAAAACACCCTCACTGTGCCCTCTCACAACATTTTGAGAGGCTGAGGCAGGAGGATTGCTTGAGGCCAGGAGTTCGAGACCAGCCTGAACAACATAGGGAGCTCTGGTCTCTGCAAAAAATATACAAAATTAGCCGGGTGTGGTGGTGCATGCCTGTTGTTCCAGCTACTTGGGAGACTGAGGGGGGAGGAATGATTGTGTCCAGGGGTCTTGGGACAGAGGTGTGGGTTGAGGCTGCAATGAGTCATCATTGCCCCACTGCACTTCCACCTGAATGAGAGAGTGAGACCCTGATTCAAAAAAAAAAGAAAATCCTCACTCTGCATCCCTAATGATTTTCATAATTCTAAGTGGACTCTTGCATCTTCCCTTCTTATTGATTCCTTTACTCAGTTAATGAGATCTCTTGATCATCTGGCGTCTTTTATGTCTGAGAGGTTTACCCATGTTATTGCAGATAGTCACTGTTATTTTTCATTACTGCATAATAATCTATTATATTAGATATCCATAATTTTATTTATCCATTCTATTGCTATTGAACATCTGGCTCATTTTTAGCTATCACGAATTAAGTTGCTATGAACATTCTATAAATGAATTTTGGTGGACATAAGCCCTCATTTCTTTTTTTTTTTTTTAATTGGAGAGAGAGTTTTGCTCTTGTTGTCCACGCTGGAGTGCAATGGCATAATCATGACTCACTGAAACCTCTGCCTCCTGGGTTCAAGGAATTCTTCTGCCTCAGTCTCCCAAGTAGCTGGGATTACAGGCACGTGCCACCAGGCTTGGCTAATTTTTCTTTATATTTGGTAGAGATGGGGTTTCATCATGTTGGTCAGGCTGTTCTTGAACTCCTGACCTCAGGTGATACACCCACCTCAGCCTACCCAAGTGCCGGGATTACAGTGTTCAGCCACCCTGCCCAGGCAGCATAAGCCCTTATTTTTATTGGGAATATATCAGGAGTGGAAGTGATGAGTGAGATAGTATTGATTGCATGTGTAAATACTATCTCTGTCAATTCAGGTGCTCCAAGTGAGAAGGTGCAGTAGCCTGCAGGCCCACATAAGCATGAATATTAAAAAAAATCTTGAATTTCTTCAAGAAAAATTCCAGGCACTTAGCTCTGAAAAGTCATTGAGCAACTTGTTAAGCAAGAAGGTAATTATAGCCAGCAGCACAAGCAGTGGCCCAAGGCAAGTCCCCCTCCAGCCAGCAAAATGTTAAAAAAGGGTTGACATATGTGGGAAAATAGTAAGAGAAAACGTGTGAAAGAGAGAGATGGGAAGTAAAACTGAAGAAAGAAACAGTGTAAAGAGAAAAGAGAGAGAATGTTTTTCTTTTAAAAACTCAGGCAGAACAACTAAGCCAAAACATGTTTTAAAAGGTTGAAAAAGAAAAACTATAAAGTAAAAGAGGAGGGAATTGTGGGAAGTAGAAAAGTTCCTCTTGTCCCAGCTCCATGGGAGGTTAAGTAGGAGGACTGCTTGAACCCAGGAGTTCAAGGCTGCAGTGAGCTATGATTGTGCCACTGCACTCCAGCTTGGGTGACAAAGTGAGACCCTGTCTTTAACAAAAACAGTTTGGGGCCAGATACAGCAGCTCATGCCTCTAATCCCAGCACTTTGGGAGGCCAAGGCAGGTGGATCACTTGAAGTCAGGAGGTCGAGACCAGCCTGACCAACATGGTGAAACCCTTTCTCTACTTAATTAGCTGGGCGTGGTAGCGCATGCCTGTAATCCCAGCTGCAGGTGTGCACCACCATGCTTGACGAATTTTCTTAAATTTCATACGGATTGGGTCTTGCTATATTGCCCAGGCTGGTCTCGAACTCCCGGCCTCGGGTAGTGTTGGAAATAGATGCTCGGTACCATAAAGCAAAATTAGCACTGAGACAAAGGCTCTTTCAGCAACATACTTTACTTCCTGGGACTGCAAGAAGGGTACTCCCGGTAGCCATTGTGCCACGACAGAACAATGAACAAAGGAGGAACCAGGTGAGCTGATCCCAGTTTGGTTCCATAACACAAGAAGCAGATGCCAAGGTGGAATTTGATGTGCAAGAGATTGACAGGAAAAAAAAAAAAAAGCCTGTGAAGAATAAAGGAAAGCGGGAGTAAGAATGAGCATGGATGGGCCGGGTGAGGTGGCTCACGTCTGTAATCTCAGCACTTTGGAAGGCCAAGGGAGGCAGATCACCTGAGGTCCAGACTTTTGAGACCAGCCTGGACCACCTGGCGAAATCCCATCTCTACTAAAAATTCAAAAATTAGCCTGGTGTGGTGGTGGGTGCCTGTAATCCCAGCTACATGGGAGGCTGAGGCAGGAGAATCGCTTGAACTCAGGAGGGGGAGGTTGCAGTGACCTGAAATCACACCACTGCACTCAAGCCTGGGTGACAGAATGAGCAAGACTCTGTCTCAAAAAAAAAATAATAAAAATTTAAAAAATAATTTAAAAAGGCACGGATGAACACAGTGTCTCATGCCTATAATCCCAGCACTTTGAGAAGCCAAGGCAGGAGAATCACTTGAGGCCAGGAGTTCAAGACCAGCCTGGGCAACATGGCGAGACCCTGTCTCTACAAAAAAAATAAAATTATTAGCTGGGTGGGAGGATTGCTTAAGCCTAGGAGGTGGAGGCTGCAGTGAGCCATGATCAAGCCACTGCACTCCAAATCCTATCAAAAATTAAAATTAAAATTAAATGAAATTAAACGATATTCATGGAGAGCGTACTGACCACAATGCAGGTCTGACAACTGTTTGAGAGCTCTACAGAGAGCCCAGAGCAGACTGTCCACATAGGAGCTGTTTGTAAGTCAGGAATGGGCTGAGTCTGGAATCTCTGGCATGCAGAGTCATTGGCTGGCACAGCCTGTGGAAAGCATGCCTCAGCATGAACCCTGTGGTGGGCCCAAGTGTGTAGCAGATGGAATGTCTTAGCCAGCCCAGCTAATATTGTAATTTTAGTTGAGACGAAGGTTTCACCATGTTGGCCATGCTTGGTCTTGAATTCCTGACCTCAGGTGACCTGCCTGCCTCTGCCTCCCAAAGTGCTGGGATTACAGGCATAAACCACTGTGCCCGGCATAACTTCTTGTTAATCTAGTTATTTCATCAACCTGAACAATGTGGCAAAATCCCGTCTCTATTAAAAATACAAAAGTTAGACGGGCATGGTGGCGGCAGGCGCCTGTAATCCCAGGGACTAGGGAAGCTGAGGCAGGAGAATCGCTTGAACATGCGAGGTGGAGGCTGTAGTGAACTGAGATCGTGTTACTGCACTCCAGCCAGGGACATAGGGTGAGACTCCAACTCAAAAAAAAAAAAAAAAAAAGAGAATATAGTTATTTCAAAATAATGTAGAAATAGGCTGTGACAGGATGGCTGCTTTTATTGCTTGGAATTCCATAGTTTAACAATTTTTTTCTGTTTCTTTTTTTCACAAATAGTTGTTTGCACTCTTGGCTTTTTTTGTGGTCATGTGCTCATTAGGCCGTAATTCATTTATTTATTCAGGTACATGATTTTTTTTTTGGTATAGATGACTTGGCCTCAAAAATCCATGATCTAAAAAGTTAGTAGTGATTATATCTTTATTTTAGCTTGCATGTAAATTCCTTTTTTCTCCTATTAACATTTATGATAGCTTTCCCTGAGTTTCATGTTGCATCAACCCCAGAAGACAGTCACACCGGTACCTTCTGTCCTCCACGAGAAGAACAGGACGTGGAGCCTCTGGCAATTTACATTCTTTTTTTCTGTGCAATTCTTCATTGCTTAATTGTATAGTGCTTAATATGTACACGTTAAAGGATATTAAATGTATTGATGTTACAAAGGCAATGCTTTAAAATTCTTTGGTGTGCTTTACAGCTGTATTATTATTTTCTCTGTAAAAAAACTCTGTGGCTACCTGGTGAAGCCCCGGGACAGTAAGAACTCATTTACCAACTAGCAGGCGCTAGTGACTCATGCCTGTAATCCCAGCATTTTGGGAGGCCCAGACGGGGGGATCACATGAGGTCAGGAGTTCGAGACCAGCCTGGCCAACATGGTGAAATCTTGTCTCTACTAACAATACAAAAATAAGCCAGTCCTGGTGGCACGTGCCTGCAATGCCAGCTACTTGGGAGGCTGAGGTAGGACAATACTTTGAATTTGGAAGGCGGAGGTTGCAGTAAACCGAGATTGTGTGGTTGCACTCCAGCCTGGGCAAGAGCAAAAGTATTTCTTAAAAAAAAAAAAAAAAAAAGGAAAAAAAAGAATTTATTTACAGTCTATATACCAGTGTTTTAGTTAAAGTAACTCCATTATTAACAAGTATTTACCCTTTTTACAGACAGGGCCATTGAGACTCAGATTAACACATCCAATATTCGTTAGGGAGCAGCCACTCAGAGATTCGAAACCAAAAACCAGACTACTTCTCTTTAGCTGGGCGGTGTGGCAATATGATAACGAATTCTTTTACTTCTTGGAATTTGGACTTGTTTTAACTTGGGAAGTGCTCTAACGTATACGGAAGAAGTAGATCTTTAAACACATACAGACATCAAAACCCGAGATACTCTCCTCTGTGTACATGTTTGACACTTTGGTTTAGAGATTCTTATTCTCTAAATGACAGCAAACCTCCCTACTCCATTTCTTATGCCTTGGTATTACTAGTAGTAGAGGAGCCGGGACTGAATGCGTTTTCTTGCCTTTCCTGGTCTTTCAGTTTTCGAAAAGGGGCGCTACATCGTTATATAAAATGCTGCGAAAAGCGAGTAATTCTTTTGTTTAGGGATAGTTCTCACGTGTTTATCACGTCTGTTCGGGGCAAGGGGGAAAAGGGCCGTAGGAAAGGCGACACCAACGGCCGTTGCAACGCGCTCAAGGTAATTCAGGGCATTACGCAGCCCGCTGTCCAGGGCTTAGGCTCAGTGTGGCAATGTCACGCGCATCTCGGGCCTCATTTATGAGGAGACCCGGGTGGTGCTTAAGCTGTTCCTGGAAAACGTGATCCGGGACGCTGTGACTGACACGGAGCATGACAAGCGCAAGATCGTCACCTCCACGGACGTGGTCTACGCTCTCAAACCCCAGGGTCGAACCCTGTAAGGCTTTGGCCCTTAAGTGAGGCCAGACTTTTTTTGCAGCATTGTTAATGGTCCTTTTCAGGACCGCTTAGGTTTTCTCCTGAAGGGCTCTCGCTTGAAATTGTGGAAACAACTTACTAAGCAATATTGTGTGTTTTAATGCTGTGGGTGCCCAAAAGCTGTAAGTGTAGAATGCTGTAAAGTATAAGTTTACACTAAGCCTGACAAACATGAAACACAGGTTGTAAATTAATCATATATTTAGAGATTAGAAATCTGGTGGGCTGGCTGAGGACATCAACAGCTACATTGTCACTTACAAGCTTTTAAAATGTGGTTATGGTAGTGTTTTTCTCATTACTATTATGATTACACTCTGTAACTAAAGTTGTAGTTTTAGTGCTGACCCAACTTTATTACATTCTGCTTAATAAGCCATTTAAGTAACCACAGAATACGCAGTAATTAGCAAAAACAGCATAATTTGCATAAACAAATTAGCAGGTGTCATTCTGACAAATGTGTCTGCAGTGGAGGGACTGGCTCCCTTACTGGTTCGATGATCTAATTTAGCAGCACTGAAAGAAGTTTTCCTGTTTTGTGCCTTTTGTAGGGCTGATGGCCCCACAGGGTTGTGGGGTGTCCCTTATGCTGTGCTAAGGTGCAGGATCCGAGAAATAAACAGACAGGACACAGAAGTACAAGGAAAATGCAGCTGGGCTCAGGGGGCCACACTACCTATGAGTGAAGTCAAGCGAGGCCCCGAATGTCCAGAAGAGCATTTATTGTGTACAGGTTAGGGGACAGGGCAGTGATTGAAGTCATCTTTAAGAATAGTGATAGGGTTGTGAGCAATGAAACATGGTGTCCACTCCAGTAGGTCACCTAGGCTTAGAGGTGGACGGTGCGCAGAAAGGGGTCCATTCCCATTAGGTCTTCGAGGCGAGGGCTGTGTGCAGTGAGGGGTGACCTTAGGTCACCAAGGCACAGAGGTGGGCCGTGAGCAGTGAAGAGGTACAGAGTGCAATACCTCTATCTATGGGCAAACTACTAAGAAGATTTATAGGAGGATGCTTTAAGTCACACAGCATTGACAGGGCTGTCAGGGTCTACGCCACCTGCTGGCAGCTTCCAATGAGTTCTATAGGGGAATGCTTTTCCAGCAGCACAGTAACAAGAGCTGATAAAATTCAATCACCAAGGTGTGATTTCCAGTCTGAGGGCAGCCTTCCACAAGAACTGGAGCAAGGTCCTACAACTCCTTTAACAGGAGGAGTGGCTCTTGCCTCAAGCTTGCCATATAGCAGGTATCTTTACGATACTGAACGCTGCCACCTGGGCCATGGATTCTTGTCCTTTTCTCCGATTATAAGCTGCTTATTCCTTAATTCATGTTCTGTACTGTGTCTACTCTAGGAATTCCTTTGATGATGAACTAAGATATAATTATATATATATGTAGGGAAATATTCTTTAGGCATACATACTATGAACTATTATGATTATATGCAGAGGATTATATAAAAGGAAATAACTGAGTAGTAACACTACAAACTGAGATAATCTTCAAGCCCTAATTCTATAAACTAATTTATGATTACATAAAGGATTATATAAAAGGAAATAACTGAGTAGTGACACTATAAACTGAGATATTCTTCAGGCCTTAGTTGTGCCAGGGTTCTGTTTAGCTCTCCTTCCTTGATGCCTATATGCGGCGTTACCCACACCTTTGCTTGTGATCCATTGTAAATATAGAAACACTTCGATAAAGGTGTAACTGCAATAAGTTATGTCTCAATTGCTGTTTGAGAGAGTATGGAGATCAAAGAGCCAATTAAACATCTCAAAAGGGGGAAAAATCCTCCAGAATGTGGACATTTGAGACAATTGCTTTGTTGAAAAAGCCGCCAACAAAAGACCGAAGGAGACTAAAGTAACACAGCAACTAAACAATGTGTTCATTGCATTCTGTCTCCAAAGATGTTTCAAAGGGCATTTTGGAGTCAACCAAGGAAACTTGAATGTGGACTGGATAATAGGTCATTTTAGTAAGGTTTTTTTTTTTTTTTTTTTTTTCCCACTGTGTTGGTCAGGCTGGTCTTGAACTCCTCAGGTGATCCACCCACCTTGGTCTCCAAAGTGCTTGGATTACAGGCATGAGCCGTCACGCCCGGCCATTTTAGTAAGTTTTTAAAGAAAGTTTTGATGTATTGAGATTACATGTAATTTCCCTTATTTTTAGGAATTAGATGCTGAAGTATATAGGTTTAAAGTGTCATGAGTCTGTCATTTACTTTCAGATGGTGGTAAAGTACACTGTATTGAATCTAGGTGGTGGATGATTGATAAACACATCTTTTATCATGTATTTTTTCAGAATATTTTTATAATAAAAATCTGGGATACAGTAGGAGATAACAAAACTGCTAAAAGCCCTGGCACCATCAGGAGAGAGGCCTCTCAACAGGTGAGTATAAAAGACCTATCTGCAGAATAGGATCAAGTAGCAGGACACTCAGCTGCATGACACTTGTCATAAGCATGCATTTATTTCTCTTGCTCTGACTCTGATCAGCAGAGGGGAACGACAGGGGACCAGGGCATTTCAAGTAATGTTGGCAGAGTGTAGGTCTACAGTAGTGTGAAGACAGGAGTGGCAATAAGTAGTTGGATGCCATGGACACTGGGAATGCATATATGAACAAAACACAGGCCTGGCAGTTGACTGAGTGACGAGGACTTCCCCTTGCAAACTGAGACAATGAGAATTAACCTTATGCTGTTGGAAGCATGTTAACGAGGTGTGACACAGAGAAATTTGCATTTAAGTTACATCAATTATTTTGGATATAGCAGCCATAAACTTTGTGCTGTGTAGTGAAAACATTGTGTTCTGTTAAGGTCAAGACCGGAAACAGCCTACTCAAAGGGGATAATATGAGGAAGATTTCTTAGCAAATTGAGGGCAGGATACAGAAACCTAAAAAAATAGTGTCTCCATCCAGGTATAGTAAGGATCACTTACAACTCTGAAGGGGTATGAGAAGCAGTCATTAGAGCTGCACAGAGGGGGTCCCTGACAGGACTTGTGGCCTGGAGAGAGGGATGCAGCAGCCTATGGTGACACCTGAAAGGGAAACTGGCGAATAAATACCCCATCTGATTCTTTCTTCCCTCCAGTCTCCTGCATTGAGTTTCCACTGGCTGAATCTTATCAGAAGGAGGAGGTCCAGGTAGCACATTGATAAGATCCATACAGTAAGTCTCTCAAAGCCCAGGGCTTGGAGGAGAAAGTGGAAATAAGTCTGGAGGTCTGACTGGAAGATACTTTGCTCTGTGCCCCAGGCTGAAGTGCATTGGCACGACCTCGACCTCGCCTCACTGCGACCTCCGCCTCCCGGGTTCAGCCTCCTGAGTGGCTGGGATTACAGGTCCGTGCCACCACGTAGAGTCGGGGTTTTGCAATGTTGGCTAGAGTGGTCACGAACTCCTTGAGCGACCGAGCTCGGCGGGGAAACGGCTCTTTCCCTCCCTCCTTCCTTCCTCTCTTTTCTTTCTTTCGTCTTTGAGACAGTCTCACTGTCGCCCAGGCTGGAGCGCAGCGGTGCCATCTCGCAATCCCTGAAACCTCCGCCTCCCCTGCTGAAGCGATTCTCCTGCCTCAGCCGTTAAAGAATAGCTGCGACTGCAGGCGTGCGCCGCCACGCCGGGCCAACTTTCGTACTTAGCATTTTCAGTAGACGGGGTTTCACCATTTTTGTGCCCAGGCTAGTCTGGAACTTCTGAGCTTTAGCAATCCGCCCGCCTCGGTCTCCCAAGGTGCTGGGATTACAGGCGAGGCACCCTGCCCCGCCACAAATACTGGATTTTTAAGTTTACCAGTGATTTACCTGTCCCGAACAGATGAGATCATTCAGGTACTATGGCTAATAACACGTAATGCTAGTGTAATAAAACCCCGCCACCTAATACAGAATCAGTTAAATTTTAGAAACCCGAGGATAAAACACATCCCATACATCACAAAACTGCTGGTATTCTTAAATCATTTCCACCATCTTTCTCCGTGGAGGCCTAAGATAGAAATACCCAAGTTCCTAATGTTTTCCCGCCTTCCTTTTGTCCGGAGCACACCCGACACCCGCCATCTTGGGAGGATCGCTCAAAACGGCTTGGTTTAACTCTGCTACAACCCCAGAAAGTTTACAAAAGGAAACTCACATCGCCTACGTCTTCGTGGTGAGCAGTTACGGCCCTTCGTGTGAGGAAGGAGGTGGCCCTGAAAAGGGCCTTTTGTGGGAGAGCAGTCAACAGCAAGCCAGAATGAGGCTCAGCCGCCGAAGCCGTAGAGGGTGCGGCCCTGGCGCTTGAGCGCGTACACCACGTCCATGGCGGTGACCGTCTTGCGCTTGGCGTGCTCCGTGTAGGTCACGGCGTCCCGGATCACGTTCTCCAGAAACACCTTGAGCACCCCGCGGGTCTCCTCATAAATAAGGCCCGAGATGCGCTTTACGCCGCCGCGTCGGGCCAGGCGCCGGATGGCGGGCTTGGTGATGCCCTGGATGTTGTCACGCAGCACTTTCCGGTGCCGCTTGGCGCCTCCCTTTCCCAAGCCTTTACCTCCTTTCCCTCTGCCAGACATGACCACAAGCAAACTGCAGCCCTACCTCTGCAACTTCAGTACTTCTTGAAGCCCCTTATATATCAATAATGCGGACCTTTTTGGAGACTGAAATGAAGGGGCGGGAACGAAACCTGTGTCTCCGCCTTTTCCCTACCTTACTGGGCGTCCCCGACACTGTGGTCTAAGGAACCAAGCGGGCGGGGAAATGCAACTCGGTTTGATTCCTTTCTGTTTCCTTGTTTTGGTCTTGTGTGCAGGTTTCTGTGTCCTCCGGTCTAGTGCCTGTTGGCTCTCAAAGAACTGATTATGTTTGTCTCTTAACAGCCTTAACATTTGTAAAAAGGAGGCAGTAACGCTACATACACTTGTCTGCAAAATGGATAGACAAGCAAATAACGTAACAACTATTTCTTTTAAGACAGTCTCGCTCTGTAGCCCAGGCTGGAGTGCAGTGGCGGGTTCTCGGCTCACTGCAACCTCCGCTTCCCGGGTTCAAGCGATTCTTCTGCCTCAGCCCGCGGAGTAGCTGCGACTACAGGCGCGCGCCACCACGCCTGGCTAAAATTTTGTATTTTTAGTAGAAACGGAGTTTCGTCATATTGACAAGGCTGGTCTGAACTGACCTCAGGTGATCGGCCCCTGCTTGGCCTCCCAAAGTGCTTGGATTACAGGCATGAGCCATCGCTCCCGGCCTTAATTTTTAAACGTTAAGATTCCTTTAAAATGTATTTTTATTAATTTTAAAAATATAGCAAGCAATACTTATTAAATTTGGCCGATCATGAGACTGCGTTTGACAGAGAAATAGGCATTCACATCGTTTTCGGCATTCCTAATAAAATAGGATCTGTAAGAAGGGAAACCAATATTAATTGAATTTACATTCTTAGTATTCCAATGTATAATGCAATATTTGAGGCTTGAAGACATAATCATCTAATAAGTGGTATTGTATTCTTGGGCTCAATTTTGCAGTCTCATTGTTTTGCTATCTACCACTGCTTTCCTGCCAGTAAAGCATACATGGGAAATCATGACGAATAAAGGTTTGCAAATTAACAAAAATACTAATCAATTCTGTGAAAGACTGTGCTAATAAAAGATTCCTGAATAAATTTACGCACAGATCATAGATGATGTGTAGTAGAAAAATTCCAACATTAACTTATATTCTACACCTTCACATTCATTGCCTCCGATATACTGCAGGGGTAGCTTAAAAATTCCTTCTCTGCTGATACCTAAAGTCAGTGAAAACATTCTTCATTTTGAGGTTAAGAGTCTACTTAAATTTTGGCTTAGGTTCATTTGCCTGTAGGCATAGACACAGAGATCTCTAATGCTCTCCTTTTTGAGGTAGGCACCAAAGCATCATTCATTCATTCAGTAATTTAACGTCCTCTAAATACGAAGAATGGTGTACAAATACCAGGTTTACAAAGATGATCAATTTATTCTCTTAAAAAACTTAAAAGTTTAGAAAAGGGAAAAGTAAACTCAGGGTTAGGGGACAGACATCAAACCAGCATACTTTTTTTTTTTGAGATGGAGTTTTGCTCTTTTTGCCCAGGATGTAGTGCAATGGCCTGGTCTCAGCGGAGATTAGTTAGCCCAAATACCTTTTTACTTACTGAGACCCTAAGTAGCCATGGGAACCAGTCAGTGTTGCACAAGAATGAAATGGTGGCATCTGTTAATTCACTATATCTAATATGGTGAACAATTCCAAAAATTATTCAATAACTCTTATTAAGACTACAATAATAATTAAAATAATAAACAGTAAACAATCTGAGTTGTGTTTTTTTGAGACAGAGGCTTGCTCTGTCGCCCAGGCTGGAGTGCTGTGGCTCGACCTCGGCTTACTGCAACCTCTGCCTCCTGGGTTCAAGGGATTTTCCTGCCTCAGTTTCCCTAGAAGCTGGGACTACAGGCACCCACCACTACGGCCAGACAATTGTGTGTGTGTGTGTGTGTGTGTGTGTTCTAGTGGAGACAGGGTTTCACGGTGTTAGCCAGGATCACCTTGATCTCTTGATGTCTTGATGTCGTGATCCACCCACCTCGGCCTCCCAAAGTGCTGGGATTACAGGCGTTGAGTCACCACGCCCAGCCAGCAATCTTAATTTTAAATCTATCTTTGTGTCTAGAGATTATAAAGCTATGGACTGGAAAAAGAAATGCTTATACCTGTGACTGTCACTGTTGAAAATGATATCCATAATGATGCACAGCCCCTTCCTCCAGAAACCCATAAAATGCCTCCCTAGAGGAATTACTGATTTCGACAAATCCAAGTCTATAAGTTTTCCTCTGTTAGAAACCATATTTTTATTTTTGTGGCATATAACATGGTCTTAAGTCCCAGAGACTTGTTTCCAATCTGTGCAAGAGAGTAAATGATTACTTAAGACAATTTAAGTAATTTTAATGAAATTAGTTGAATGAGGAGAGATGACATCTTCAAAGTTGATTATTTTATCTAGGATTTTTTTCCCCAAATTCTTTGGGAAAGAATTTACCTAGGATTTACATGAAAAAGTCCTCTAATCACTATGGAGGGTAGGCCAAAATAACTTGATTTTCTGAAATAGGAGTATTTTTGTTAGTAGAAACAGAATATCAAATTACTCGTTTATTTAACAAACATAGGAGTTCATTTCAGCATCCAATTATTTGATGGAAAATATTAATTTTATGCTTAATTATCCAATAATAACCTAATTCCATCATGTGCATTGCAAACTGAAAGATAAGGAATAGTGAAGTTACTCATGTTTGCTGTGAAATGTTTGTTTAGCTCCTTAGGTGGACATATTCAACCAATTAATTTTGGGTGTGACAGCTCAGTTTATATTTTGTGAGTAAAAAGTCCAAGGAGAATGATGAAAATTTTGAAAGTGATTTTAATGAGATTTTTTTCCTCTCTAATCCTCAATGTCCACACTTGTAATGTTGAAATTTGTATTTTATTTTAGTAAATAGTGATTTTTACCATTTATTCAACCAGGTTGGAGAGAGAGAGAAAGACGAACCAAAATTTGTATTTTAAATGTGACTTTAAATTATAAAAATATGTACAAAATTCTATGGTGAATATTGGCAAAAAAAAAGTAGTCTTCCATTAAATTATTTACAATTTTAAAGTGATGGGACAGGAACATGTGAACTGTTAATGCTCAGAAGCTCTCGCTCTCAGTGCTCACAGTTGGTAACATGATGTTGGCCTGCCATTCTATTATTTCTTGATTCAGTTTTCTTTAAGGAGATGTGGTAGTTGATCTTTAATGCCTATTTTAGGTCTGAAAAATCCATGATCCTAACTTTTAAGAGAAGATTGGTCACTGTTTAGGACTTTTTTCTATAAGAAGAATGATGTAACCCCACCCTGATCCTTCTGGAAATTTTTAAACCACTAAAATATTGAGATCAAATCCAGCTTACATACTAGTAACTTAAATGCTATTTAAAAACAAAAACCAACCAAACAAAAAAACCCGTCTTTTCTAAAATAATCACCCTTCTTGTACATAGAACTTTCTACCCCGGTGCCAGTTCCTAGAGCTTGATGCAAACAGCTCGCCAGAGAGCCTGTGCTACTGTTCTTGCGAAAAAAACCAATTTTCCTACACATTTGTGGAAAAATGAGTTTACCTGTATAAAGTCAAGAAGATAAGAATGTAGGGAACAATGTCCTGGAATAGACATTTGCAAATGAAAGAGGGAAAAATAGTATTTTTAAGGAAAACCTGAAAGTTGTCTCGATTTGACTGAAGTTTGAAAGAGAGTTGGGGGAATAAGGAAACTTTGAAGATGCCGGTTTTAAAACTATGCACAGAAACTAAGGCAGGAAGGAAGCCCGAAGCCTCTCGGGTCAGTTTCCCCCAAATCCCTAATTATTTCCTGCTCAGATTTCTTATATTTTTACTCTTTTTTAAGGGGCAACAAACACAGCAGCGCAGTAGAGCCGAAGAGTCCTTTTCCAGCAGGGCCGCGCATGGAGCAGGGAACCAATCATCGCTCAGCGTCTCTCTATATAAACGCTCAGCCTCCGCCGGAGAGGACAAGCCGCTCTGACACTTTGAGCTTACTTTTGTCTTTGGCAAGACAGCAACATGTCGGAGACTGCTCCAGTGGCTCCTACCACTCCTGCACCCGCGGAAAAAACACCTGTGAAGAAGAAGGTGAAGAAAGCAGGCGCAGCGGCTGGAAAACGCAAGGCATCGGGACCCCCAGTGTCTGAGCTCATCACCAAGGCAGTGGCAGCTTCCAAGGAGCGCAGCGGCGTTTCTCTTGCCGCGCTTAAAAAAGCGCTTGCGGCTGCCGGATACGATGTAGAGAAAAACAACAGCCGCATCAAGCTTGGCCTCAAAAGTTTGGTGAGCAAAGGCACCCTGGTGCAGACTAAAGGCACTGGTGCTTCTGGCTCCTTCAAACTCAACAAGAAGGCGGCTTCCGGGGAAGCTAAGCCTAAGGCTAAGAAGGCTGGTGCTGCCAAGCCTAAGAAGCCCGCAGGGGCAGCCAAGAAAGCCAAGAAGGCGACTGGTGCCGTTACCCCCAAGAAAAGCGTCAAGAAGACCCCTAAGAAAGCAAGAAAGGGGGCAACAGCTGCTGGGACCAAGAAAGCTGCCAAGAGTGCGAAAAAGGTGAAAACATCACAGCCGAAGAAAGCTGCCAAGAGTCCGGCCAAGGCCAAAGTTCCTAAACCCAAGGCAGCCAAGCCTAAAGCGGCGAAGCCGAAGGTTACAAAGGCGAAGAAGGCGGCTCCGAAGAAAAAGTGAAACTGGCGGGACGTTCCTCTGAAAATTTAAACGGCTCTTTTCAGAGCCACCTAGAGATCTCAGTAAAAAGAGCTGTAACTTGTTTTCTTAGAGGAACGGGGTGGTGTGGGAATGGCGGACGGGTCTACCCTAGTCAATGCAAGTTGGGGTTCAAGTAAGCTCACCGTTCCCTGCAGCCTGGGTGCGAAGATCCTCCCGCCACAGCCACCGGAGTAGCTATGGCTACTTGAGCCACTACCCCCAGGTTTTTCTTTAAATTCCCGCCCTGGTGTGTGATTGGCTAGCTGATTTCTCTTAAAGCGAGGCGCCTAAAAGTGGCTTGTAACGATTTTACTCCTGGTACCAGTGATATGGTTTAAATGCTTTGCTTTACTTTAGTGTTGAGATTACTTTTTGAGCTATAGCCCTTCTGGTTTTGAGCAGGACGTTGCCTGCGAAGGGTTCCTGCGGCCCACGATCTTGTGTAACCAATCGTTGGCGATGGTCAGCTGTAGGTGGCGCCAAATGCCCGTCTTTTCGCAGGCTTTGTTACCCGCTCCCGAATCTGGGGTTCCGGCCGTCAGGTAAGTTGTTGGAAACGCATTTTGGGGCCGGGCGCGGTAGCTCATGCCTGCAATCTCAGCACTTTGGGAGGCCAAGACGGGTGGATCATGAGGTCAGCAGTTTGAGACCAGCCTGACCATGGTGAAACCCCGTCTTTAGTAAAAAATACATAAAATCGCCGGGGCGTGGTGGCGCACGCCTGTAATCCCAGCTACTACGCGGAGCCTTGAACTCGGGAGACTGAGGTTGCAGTGAACCGAGATCGCGCCGCTGCATTCCAACCTGGGCGACAGAGCGACACTTCCTATAGGCGGTGGGGGCGGGGGGCGGGGGCAGGCGGAAAGGCAGTGTGGTTATTGTTTCTTTTCTGTTAGTGGCCAGCATCTCCAGGACTTATTTTCCCAGAGTGAGTCTCTCTTGGCTGTTCACTTATTTTTGCCTACTTTTAACTTTGTAGGACTGCCTCCAGGTAACACCCGCGTGCTGGCCCAACCCGCTCGGAGTAGCTGTCTTTGCGGAGTACGCGGTATATTAACCCTGCTGGCAACTGTAGGCCCGCGTGGGAAGAGCAGGTCTTGCGTTTGCCGAGATTTTGGTCTTGTTTCCCGCGGCCAGATAATATTAGGGAAAAAATACAATTCTAGTATTAAGCCAATCGGGGAAGAAGTCATCATAGTCTGTGTCTCAGTTTTGTAAAACATGCTCTTCCATTGGTTTGCACAGCCTGCTGATGAATTAACCAATAATAATGTATTTTTAGATTTTTATTTGCTTGGTTTTTCCTAGAGAAAATTTTTCACCAGAGTACGATTATTAAAATTTGTGTATGCTGGGATATAAGTATTGCTATCACCCTGAGGCTAAGGGATAGTGAAAAGTATGAAAGGAGAAACCTTGGGGAAGGCAGCAAGGAACCTGAAATTGGGGTTACCAAGACAAAGAAAATGAGCCCTAGGAAGGTGGGCTGACCTGTATGTACCACTATTTCCATTTTATCTGGGAAGCTGAGGTGTTGTTTAATTTTGTTTTTGATTTTAGGAAAGCCCACTTAACTGTGCTGAGAAATCTGGACATAATCTGATTTCTACAGATGTTTATGGAACTCTAGATGGGAAAAGATTACATGATTTTCACAAATCCTAAATGCAATTTGGTATTTCCTTTGAGTTCAGGCAGCTAATCACCGGATTTCACATCAATGATAATCACAGATATTTTCATATCACTTTGTACTTATTGTAGGTATAGTTTACACTAATTGTGAACCTTTCAAACTAACATTACACTTTCTGCTAGATCTTATTTGATGTGTAACTGAAGTATATACAGACTTTAAGAAAAAAACTTTTAGTGTCACTACCTTTCTTACCCTGTATATATTTTTTTAAAAATATGGTTTTGAGAACGTGTCTATAGATTTCCAGAATCTAGAGTACATAGCAAAAAACAAGTCATAAACTGTTTTTGTTTGTTTGTGACTGAGTTTCACTCTTGTTGGCCAGGCTGGAGTGCAGTGGTGTGATCTTGGCTCACTGCAACTTCCGTCTCCTGGGTTCAAGGAATTCTCCTGCCTCAGCCTCCCGAGTAGCTGGGACTACAGGCGTGTGTCACAATGCTCAGCTAATTTTTGTATTTTTTGTAGAGACGGAATTTCTTCATGTTGGCCAGGATGGTCTTGATCTCTTGACTTCGTGATCCCCCCACCCCCCTCCCTCCCTGCCTTGGCCTCCCAAAGTGCTAAGATTACAGGCGTGAACCACCGTGCCCGGTCCAAGTCATGAATTCTTAAACAAGTTTGCAGTGGGACCAAATATTATAAATCCTTTATGAGGATAATACCTCTTAATCTTACTTCTTTGTTTACATTATGTTTATTAGTTAATATTTTATATTTTACATTATTATTTGCCTCCCAGCCCCCCAAAATGAAATGTAGCCTATTTTTCTAGTTTAGCAGGAGCTTAATTTCTTGGGAACTATGGCTACATCACACAATTTCTTTGTAGAGAAAGCCAAAATACCTCCCAGTATGAGAGTGGCTTGATTGAGAAGGGGATCTGAATAAATGGGAGGATGTGCTCTTTTTTTTTAAAGGCAGAGTTTTGCTCTGTAGCCCAGACTGGAGTGCAGTGGTGCGATATTGGCTCATTGCAACCTCTGCCTCCCAGGTCCCGGTTCAAGCAATTCTGTGTCAGCCTCCCGGGTAGCTGGGATTACAGGCACGCACCACAGTTCCTAGCTAATTTTTGTATTTCTAGAACAGAGAGGGTTTCATCATGTTGGCCAGGCTGATCTTGAACTCCTGACCTCGTGATCTGCCCGCCTCGGCCACCCAAAGTGCTAGAATGACAGGCATAAGCCACTGTGCCTGCTTGTGAAATATTTATTGAAAATAATCTTTTTGAAAATAATAGATTGTGTCATTGAGTGGGAAAGACAGGTATGCAGGGGTGAGCCAAACTTCTTCACCCTCTGAAAGTTCAATGAAAATCAACAGAAAACAGACAGATTAATAGAAAAGTCATACTTCATCACAGGCTTTTGTGACATGGGCACCTACAGAATGAAGGCCCAGAAGTACAGGGCAAACTGTCCATTTTTATGCTTAGGTTCAACAAAGTATCAACTGCCATGTAAACTGTAATTGGCCAGAGTGTTTCATCTAATGCTAATAGACTGGGGAAACACAGCAAGGCCTCTGTCTGGACTCTTCTTAGCCTCTGCTGAAATTCCTTCTGCGTATTGGGTAGGACCCTCTCTGGAATGAGACTTATGACCTATAGCCGAACAACGTAAGACATGTACTTCTTTACGGCTAGCTTTCACACAGAAACGAGGGAGAAACGGTACAGTAAAATTTTTAGGTTTTATGGCTTTATGAAGAAAAAGGGGTTCTGGTTTCTATAACCACCTTGGGGAAGAGGGGTTCTAGTTCTTATGTGCAGCCTCAATGAGAGGCCAAAGGAGAGCAGGAGGTCAGAGACAAACTTCTGCTTCTGAGGGTGCTTCTAAGGCCTTCAGTTTGGGTTTTCCCAATCCCCAATGGGGAGAAGATACGTGGGAAAATGACAAGATTTAGGCTTTTGATGAAAAGTGATAAGGAATAACAGAATTAGGTGGGGAATGTGGCATTCCTTAAGAACAGTCCAAATGACTATAATATACCTCTAGTTCCTTACTTTTACAAAGCAGTTATTTAACTGCCTTACTTGGGTAGTTATAATGCATTGATATTAGGCATAGCTAAAATGCTTGTTTTACCTTTAGGAGACTTGGGGCTTAGAAAAGAGAAATGGCAGGAAATGAAAATTTGCTGTCAGTAAATGGTGGATCTAGGTCTCAAACAAGTTTCTTAATTCCTAGTATTCTTAAACTGCTTTACTTCTGTTATATCAACTGGAAAAGGCCTGGTATTGAGAAAGAAGCAGAATTTATGTATTTCTATTTCAGGCCCCTTGTGAAGTACCCATTTCACAATGTGTTTGGAATTCAACAGAAGGAATTAAACATAATGATTCAATCAAGGATCTAGAGTTGCTCTGATTTATATAAATTCATATTCATTTACCACAGAGGACACACACTTGATTTCAAGGAAATCTGGTGTTATTTAAATCTTTTTCCGTATCTTAGTTTGGTAGCAGTTGTAATAAGTACCTTGAGACTTGTAAAGATTAATAATGTCTTAGCATGGAAGTTGTGGAGGGATTTTTATATTATCTTTGTTGCTGGAGAGTATTTATGCTATGGCATAGGTCTGACACAAAAGTAATTTTTAGGATTAGCCTGAAGTCACTACTTTCTTTTAACTGGAGGAAGCAGATTTTCATGGTGTTGTGTGGGGGTCTAAAATATCCCTGTTACACAGTCATTAAATCTAGTTGATTTTTATTTTTATTTATTTTTTTAGATGGAGTCTTGATTTGTAGCCCAGGCTGGAGTGCAGTGGCCTGATCTTGGCTCACTGAAACCTCCGCCTCCAGGGTCTCGGTTCAAGCAATTCTCCTACCTCAGCCTTCCAAGTAGCTGGGATTACAAGCAGGGGCCACCATGCCCAGCTAATTTTTGTATGTTTTAGTAGAGACAGTTTCACCATGTTGGCCAGTCTAGTCTTGAACACCTGACCTTGTGATCTGCCGTCCTTGGCCTCCCAAAATGCTGGGATTAATTAAAGGCATTAGCCACCACACCCAGCCTAAATCTGGCTGATTTTTAAAGAAGTCTCAGTAATTCTAACATTTTCTTCCTTCTACATTCTCTCTTCATTCTCTCATAGTTGGGATGATTCCATTGCTCACTAACTGGTTCCCTAATTTCTCTAGCCTCAAATTTCTAAATTCTTAACCTTTTTTTTTTTTTGAGACAGTCTCGTGCTGTTGACCAGGCTGGAGTGCTGTGGCACAATCTTGGGTCCCTGCAGCCTCCGCCTCCAGTGTTCCAGTGATTCTCCTGCCTCAGCCTCCCAGGTAGCTAGTCTTACAGGCACACGCTACCATACCTGGCTAAATTTTTTTTTTGGCGTTTTTACTAGAGATGGGGGTTTTACCATGTTGATTAGGCTGGTCTCGAACTCCTGACCTCAGGTGATTCATCCACCTCAGCCTCCCGAAGTGCTAGGTCGATAGCTGTGAACCACCACGCCCGGCCCATTTTCAAAAACAAAAACCAAATACACCTTATTAAAAAAGTCATTGACTTCTAGGTTCAAGGGAAAGCCCTGTAGCCTCTTTTCATAATACTGTCTGCTCACATTTACAGACACTAATAACAATGCAGCCTTTCGATTTCTTTTCTTTTTTTTACAGCTTTGTTCAGGAGCAGTTTCCTGTGAGAATCTTTTCAGTACTTCCAATTCATTCTGAAGTTACATCTCCATGCAAAACTTCCTCTAATTCAAACCATAAACTTATCTCTGAAAATGTGCTTTCATGACATTTAAGAGTTGAGAATAATTATTATCAATAGAAAAATTTTAATGCATCAATTATTTTGTCCCATTAACTAAACTGAACTCTAGAACATTTGTCTTCTTTTCCACTACTCTAGGGGCATGTGTGTGTGTGTGTGCGCGCGTGTGTGTGTCTGAATTAAAAAATTCAATCAATTGGGTTAATTATTGTCAGATAGTCATCAAATTCAGTGATTTTATTTTCTGTTTTCCTGTGTGGGAAACCAAGGGTAACAACTTTCTCTGGTCCTTTCATGACCCTTGTTTCCACTGCCTGATTTACAGACAATCTTCCTTATCTTCTGAGTATATCATTTTATGTATGCAATTTTTAGTTGGGGCAACTACAAAATAAAAACAAAGAAACAAAAAATTTGACCTTTACAGTGCAAATTCCAATATTTTACATACCGGTATTTGCTGTTGACAGGTCAAGTAGGGAGGGTATGGAGAAATAATAAAATGGGATTTCTGAATTGTCTAGAGCTTTAGTTATTATTTTTGTAATATGAAGCTACTGGTTATTCAGAGATTACATACTTTTTGAAAAAATCATAAGTACTTGCAGGCAACTATGTAACTGAAATGGATATACAATACAGTGTGCAAGCAGGTACATAGAAAATACGATCTGACACGAGTCAGACTTTTGATCTTCATAAAATCACAATTTATTTTAAATACATCTGGTACTATTTACTGCTATCTCAGTGCATGCCTTAAAAAAAAGTTGTGTGTGTATATGTGGTTAAATCAAGGCTATTATTTGAATAGTATGCCGAAAGGCTAAAATTTGTCAATGTTAATGTCATATTTCAATGTATATATATCAGCTACTTTTCTGTACAGTTTGCAGTACTAATTATAGTAAAATAGAACTTCACAATCATATAAGATCCTGTACATTTCATTCTATTGTTATTATTCTCTTTAAGAGGGAATCTTGCTTTGTCACCTAGCCTAGAGTGCAGTGGCATGGTCTTGGCTCACTGCAGCCTTAGCCTCGAAGGTTTGATTCTCCTAGCCTCAGCCTCCCAAGTAGCTGGGATTACAGGCACATGCCACCATGCCTGGCTAATTTTTGCATTTTTTTTTTTTAGTGGAGACAAAAGTTTCACCATGTTGGCCAAGCTTTTCTTGAACTCCTGACCTTAGGTGATCTGCCTGTCTTGGCCTCTGAAAGTGCTGGGATTACAGGTGTGAGCCACCATGGCTAGCTTAAGATCCTGCAAATTTTAAAACATTCATTTCTTTTATTGTATAAGAAAAATTAAAACATATTAGTATTTCTTTGGTAGCTCTTTCAGGTGATAAAGCCCTCAGAATTAACTGATGAAAATTCTGGTGAGGCTGTTTGTTTAAAACATTAATGCCTAGTGGGGAAAGTTTTGGTTGCAGTACTATCTGATATTTTCTTAGTTCCAGTTTCTTAATTTGTTTTAGATAATTGATAACCATTGATATTACATTTTTGGAGGCTTCATAAATTACTCCATGACTTCTGGCCCATTGCAGCCACTCAGTAACTGTGGATTTTTTTTTTCCTATTTAGAAAAACTACATATTAAAATTATGTAAACTCTATCTTTTATTTTTGTAACCAGGAATACAGTAAATGGTAAATTCTGTTCAGTAATCTTTTACTTTAAATCTGAACTTGACTACATTTCCTGAGGCTTTCTTTTGGGCAAATGACCATGCTAGATGTTCTGGTGGATTAAATAATATAAAAAGATACATTCTGTGCCCACCACCTCCAAGTCCCCATGTACTGAAGTCCAACAGCTATAAGAGAAATACAGGTTAAATCTTGCTGAGCTAGAACCTTAAAGAAAGTACAGGATACAGGAAACAAGATTCACATAGAGGAAACAAGATTCACATAGAGAATACTTTTATCCAGAATAATAGCATGTGTAGTATATTACAAATACCTGACTGCAGTTACCTTAATTATGGAGTTATGCTGTTTTCCTCATGCACTGAATCCAATTCCGTAGGACTCAAGTCTTTATGTTGGACAGGCTTCCATGAACAAAGATTTCTTCCATAATCTTTCCAGGAGTTCTTACTATGGCTATCTTGGTCTGCATAGCTATTTACAGCTTTCTCACAATTATTTGTACCACATGGCTAACCTCTTAGTGCTACTTAAGGGAAAACAGCTCATTGGAAAAAAAAGTAATAGAAACTTCTCAGTGAAAGTTAACGATACACCACCCCATTTCAAAACTGAGGAATTTGCTGAAATATTTAAATAAACAAAATTCTTCCAAATGGCATGTAGTGTCCCATATGGTATATACACTCATCTACATTTCCAAATAACAGCCTGTATGATTTCAGAACAGAATTATTTCCCTTGCCTTCAGCTACCGGTTTAGAAGTTGTGAGGAAACTTTTCACGGGAAGAAAATATGGTATAGCCGTAACTGTACTTTTGTATGGAAAGGAAAGGCAGATATTTTCTGCAGTAACTTTCAAGCCATCAAAGGATTTCCATTTTGATAAATATGGGGTACCCTTAACGAGATTTAAGACAGGGTAACTAGTAGTTGAAGAGTGCTTTTAAGGTACCAGCTGGAAAGTTGAAAAGGCTATGATTTCTGCATTTTCCTTTAGCACTCGGGTGTATCTGAGACACACCCATCTGCGCCTTTGACTCCTGTAGTTTATAACCTAAGCAAGGTTGCCAAGTCGGCAAAAGCTGTCTGTTAATGCCACAGGCCTGTGTTCCATCTAATAACCTTTGCTTTGGACCACTATTAGGCGCAGAGACGGTAACCTTCACCGGCCCAAGGCGGTGGCCGTCTCTGACAAGTAGCTGGGCTTCAAAACACTAGTGGAACAAGGCGACCTGATTCAGACCAAAAGTGCCAGAGTTGGGGGAACCCCAGGCGAAACCTGAGAAGGCGCTTAAATTTGGGAGTTGAAGTTAAGAAGTAAATTAAGGGGACTGGATATCAGAATTTCAAAGATCTGTTTAGATTAGTACAGTCTCGTAAACTAGTGAGTCTTAAAGGGTTACAGCTTTTTTTCATGGATAAAGTGGTTGGCTCTGAAAAGAGCCTTTGGATTTAAGGTTGGTACTCAAAGCAATTTACGCTCTCTCACCACGAATGCGGCGGGCAAGTTGGATGTCCTTGGGCATGATGGTGACGCGTTTGGCATGGATGGCGCACAGGTTGGTGTCTTCAAAAAGCCCTACCAAGTAGGCCTCGCAGGCCTCCTGCAGCGCCATCACGGCCGAACTTTGAAAGCGCAGGTCGGTCTTGAAGTCTTGAGCGATTTCTCGCACCAGGCGCTGAAACGGCAACTTCCGAATTAACAGCTCGGTGGACTTCTGGTACCGACGGATCTCGCGCAGAGCCACAGTACCGGGGCGGTAGCGGTGGGGCTTCTTCACGCCGCCGGTTGCCGGAGCGCTCTTACGCGCCGCCTTGGTTGCCAGCTGCTTGCGCGGCGCTTTACCGCCGGTAGATTTCCGGGCAGTCTGCTTAGTACGCGCCATCACTGGCCTCAGAAGCAAGTAGATTAGGAAAACCGGCTTACCCCTCTATTTATAAAGGAACAGACTAAATGTGATTGGATTGTGGACAATCCCTGTTAGTGATAGGTTGCTACATTACGGAAGTGCTCGTAGCCATTTTCCATTGGTTTATTTTTTCAGAGCAAGATTCTGATTGGTAAATTTGGGTACCTTTAAACAAGTCGTTTTTGTTACAGGTTTCTTTGATGTTTCACATAGAGCATAACCTGCAAACACTTTCATCATTTAACTTAACAGATTGAACTTTTATCCTGTTTAGCTATAAAAAAATAGAATGTATTTGAATTAGAAAGTTCTTTAGAATTTTTTTCAAAACCATGTTTTTTTCGGCTTAATAGTCCTCAAGTTTTTCCCTTCTCTATTCACTCGTTTAAAATCCATTGTCTAAGTATCTCTCAATGAGTTCTGGTTTCATTATAGAGTACATAGCTAATTGAGTCAAATATACTTTTCTAAGATATACTGTTTAAACACAAGGAACTTTGTGTTTCATTTTTGTTAGAGTAAGTCTAACATCCCCAAATCCCTGCCGCTTTAATACGGGATTTGACTCAAAGGATTTCACGTTATCATTTTGTTTTGCGGAAATCAAAATGTCAAAGCATAATGGCAATAGCTGTCAAGAAAACTATTTTCACTACAGTAAATTGAAAAAGATGGCGGCGAAGAGAGTCTCAGAAGGTTGTTTATAAGACAACAATGGCGCAGCTTCTCCGGATTCCTGCGGGAAAGAGCTGAGTTGCGCTGAACAATTTAACACACACCCAACAGAACTTTTGTAGGAACTGGACTCACCAAAAAAACCCACAAAAAAACAAAAAAAACAGGACTTCTTAACTTGGTTTTCGCTTCCAAACTCAACAGTTCTAAATTACTTTGAAAATGAAAATTAGTTTACTGGGAAATATTCTTAGGGAATGATACTATAGCTTAACACGATATTGTAAACCAACCTATCGGATTCCCTGTAAGATGTTCTTTTTTCAGCCAATGACAAGAGCAGTTTGTGAATTTTTAAGTTACACACCTTTAAGCTATTGGCTACTTTCCTCCAGGCAGAGTTTAGATTTACAAGTTCGCGTTTGTAGAAGCGTACTATAACGATTTCGGAAGGGGATAGTGCGCGTGCGTGCCTGTTGAAAGGTCTAGTTTCCTTTTGTTTTTGTTTTCCAATAGGGTTTCTTTCTTATTGGAAAGCTATTTCGTAAGGTGTTGATGCTGGCATATAGTCCAAGGCAACTGACATCAACGATTCATTGGAGACCTCGCCCTCCAGGGAGGGGAGAAGGCCAAACCAAATTCATCTCTGCCCACAAATGCTCGCGGATGTCTGCAAGCTGAAAGGGGAGGAGACAGACAAGGCTTTGTGCCTGCCTGCTCATTCTCTGAATTTTGTTAAACCTGCCCTATTTTAGGGCATTCATAAAAATTCTGTTAACCACAGGACTGATACAATTGCATCTTTCAAATTAGTGTCTATTTAGCAAATTTGAATTTATATTAGGACTCGTGGGCAAATCAAGACCGAATTTACACATTGTCATGCATTTCAATCTCACATGTCAAATACATGAGTCCCTTCCTTTTCTCCATTTCAGAAAAAGAAAATTCTGTACACTAACTCAAGGTAAAATGCTTAGACATGTTGGCAAAATGGTTTTATAGGGAACAGGAAAAAAACTGAAATCCTTTTGTATAATATGATCACATATCGGTGGGCTGGGCTGTTTGTCAATGAGAGCTATGCTCCGGTTGCTTTTCCTCTCCCTACTCCCTACATTTCATGTTCCGAGGCCCAATGTTCATTTTAGTTTCTTCATTTCTAGAATTAGAATATTAATATCTACATGTAAAAAAGTTTCCAAAATCAAAAGATAAACTTTACATCAAAGGTTCAAGACAGAGACAGTGAGAAATTCCATCTTTATGCCCCATAGTTTGATTTCTTCTCCAGTGTCCTTAAATCTGTCAATCCGGCGTTTTGCCACCCTACCTTAAGTTCTTTTCATAATCCTCATCTCGAAATATGTGTAAACCTTTGATTTAAGGAGTCACTGCAAAATTTACAAGATTACATAAGAACTTACCAGCTCACTGGTATTAATCAGTAGTTCTTATGTCCATTCTCCATACCTGAGCACAAATTAAGGTAGGATTTGCATTGTGTAATAAAATAGTCGAAAAGGCTTGTGGCCACTACGTATTTTAAATGTGGCTGTTGAAGCTGAGGACTGTTTTTTTTTTTTTTTTAGAAGGAGGCTTGCCTTGTCACCCAGGATGGAGTGCAGTGGCGAGATCTCAGCTCACTGTAACCGCCACCTCTCTGGTTAAAGGGATTTCCCTGGCTGTCTCCACAGTAGGGGGAATTTCAGGTGCTCACCACCACACCCAGCTGTTTTTAAAATGTATTTTTAGTAGTGACGAGGTTTCACCATGTTGGCCTTGTTGGTATCCAACTCCTGACCTTAATGTCTGCCCCGACCTCCCAAAGTGTTGGGATTACAGGCATGAGCCACCACGCCCAACCAGAATTTTTATTTTACCTAATTTTAATTAATTTAATTTAAAAGCCGATACTCCAGTTACTGAAACATGTTAGATATGTTTTGAATAATTAGGTATTAGAATTTAATTTTTTAGCACTCAAGTTTATGAAATCAAAATGAAAATCCAGTTATTTCCCACAAAAATGTAATGCCAAATTGAATAGAATGTCAATCATATTTAGAAGACTTAAGCTTTAAAAAAGAATGTGAAATCTTGCATTAATATTGATTTTATATTGACTATATTTATTTTAAAATAAAGATTTTGTATTTTGGGCTAAATACGATACTTATTACTTTACCTACTTATTACTGTTTCAAATGAGTTATTCAAAAATTCAAAATTACATATGTGGGTTATTATTATTATTTTTGTTTTGAGATGGAGTCTCTTTCTGTAGCCCAGGCTGGAGTGCAGTTTCGTGATCTACACTCACTGCAGCCTCCGCCGCCTCCTGGGTCTCAGTTCAAGCAATTCTCCTACCTCACCATCCCAAGTAGCTGGGATTACAGGCAGGAGCCACCATGCCCAGCAAATTTTTGTATTTTTATTAGAGACGAAGTTTCAACATTTTGGCCAGGCTGATCTCGAACTCCTGACCGCAGGTGATCTACACACCTCGGCTTTCAATAGTGCTGGGATTATAAGCATGAGCCACTGAACACGGTAGTGGCTTGCATTATTCTTTATATATAGCATTGTGCCAGGATCATCCATTTCTCTTCTGTTTCTTGATTCTTTACCAAATCTTGACAGCACAGGCTTTGAAATAGTGTGGACTTTCAATATATTTCTATGAACTCAGTTATAGCATCTGGACTCAATCTATAACCAAACAATATCTTTATTTATACCTACATCTACATATCTATACAATTGTGTTAAGGAACTAAAGGGGCTTGTTAAACCATTAGTTATTGAAGTAAGAATAGGTGAGCAACTAGCAAAATTATTGACCTTTGAATTTTTCCATGGCAAACTATCAGTAAGTGGAGACTATTTGAAATTCTGTTAGCCAGGCACAGTGGCTCAGGCCTATAATGTCAGTGACCCAGGGGCTGGGGTAGGAGGGTTGCTTAAGGATAGAAATTTGACGATGTAGTGAGCCATAATTGTAACACTGCACCCAGTTTGGGTAACAGAGCATGACCCAAAAATGAGGAAAAAAAAAAAAAAAAAAAAAAAAAAAAAAAAAAAAAAAAAAAAAAAAAAAAAAAAGAAAAGAAAGAAAAAAAGAAGTGTTATAGGAATATTTTTCCTGATATTATGTTTTTGAAAAAAACACGTTTTGTACAAAAACTTACAACTGCTAATTCTTAAAGGAATTAGTGTCCCCAAAACTTAACTTTCTATGTACGTATAATAGAATGTACATTCTGGTGTTTAAAAAAACAAGAGGAATCACTGGAAGCACAATGCCATTTCCTAAAAAGAAAGTTCAGAAAATAATGTGCTATTCCTGGAAGCTACGTAAATACCAAGAAAGACTCTGATAACATCAGGTAAATTACTTTGAAGTCTAAAAATAATAAAAAAGTTAAAGTGTTGATTATTTTATAAGAGCCAAGGGGAGCTCTGAAGGTTTGTTGAAAGATTAGCTTACAAAAGGCAGATTAATTGCAGAATAGTTACACAAATTTATTAATGTGTTCAAGGGAGCCTTCAGAATGAAGATATAAAGATACAGGAAAAATTGTCCACATTTATGCTTAGGTTCAAAAAAGTATGGACCTTGTAGAAATCTGATAGGACAAAAGGGGTATGATGTAACCGAGCAAGGCCTGTCTGTCTAGACTCTTCCTTGCCTCTGTCAACTGAAGAATGAAAAGGTTCATACGTTTGGAAAGGATAGCTTTATTTCTCATAAAGGATTGCAGCCTGCAAGGTGGCCTTTCTGAAAGGCTATGTATGGTAGCCTTGTTTGTCTGAGAGACAGGCATTTGGAGGGAAGAAGGGAGGGATAAAACAGTAAGTTTTGAGGAATGTGTTGGCCAAGTATACATATTTAATAGGTTATAGGAGGAGCTATGATTATTTATGAATAAGACTCAAGCACATGGGTATTAGGTATTTGTGTAGGTAACATATGTCTATGATCACTTTGGGGTGGAGATTTAACATGTAAATGAGTTATAATTAGGTCCTATACATAAAACTGAAATGTAGGGCAGAAGCCCATAATCTGCCTTCTCAGGAGACTGGTCACAACCAGTTGGGGGCCGGCAGTCATTTATCAAGAAACTTTATGGTCCTTAATACCTATCTTGTCTGAAACACATTTGAGGAGGGTGGAAGGGGTCAGATAAAGTAAGTGGGGAAGGGGCTTATTGGCATTTTATTCCCTCAAATCCGACTTTGAGAAAATCCAGCATCGATTAGAAAGGGAAAGAGAAGTAGAAACAGACAGAATGTGACCAGCCTCCATCTTGTCGTGGCTGGGAATTTAAACTTTTGAGGTGTTTTAGCCAAAGGAGAGTACATTATTCTGTCAAAGGGACTTAGAATTTTTATTTCATTCCTCACCTCTTTGAACATGCACTCCTGCCTTCTTGGTATGCGACAGCACCACCTCTGGAATGGGGTCTTATGACCTGCAATTAAACTAGGTAGGTCAGAGTGTTTCTCTGTGGCCGGTTTTTACATAAAAAGGTGGAGGGGAAATTAGAGCAATATTTTTAGTTTTTATGGATGGCTTTGAGGAAAAAGGATTCTGGTTGTGATGAGCCACACTGGGAAAGAGGAATTCTAGTTTTTATGTCTAGCCGCACAGGAGAATGGTACTCAAACACAGAAGGGCAGGAGACCCAGAAAAATTTTGCTTCTGAGGTAGAATCTTTGGCCTTCATTTTGGGGTATTGTTTCTAAGCCCCAATTTGATTAATCAGTAAAGGATGTCAAGGTTTTATACTATGGGGCTTCATAGACATTAATCTTGCAATTGCTTTATTTTTATCTTTTTTTAAGTGGAAATTTAGTTTAAGAAAAATCGCAAGACTTGTCAGTCAGAGAAAAGAGAGGGGCCCTATGTGTCCTACTATAAAAAATTTAAAGTTTACACAAAGTTTACAGGGAAATGTGCTTTCACCATCTCAAAATTTACTATTGATTAAAGGTATCAAACTTATTGAAGTTAATTCTTAGATCTTTTTGTCTGCCACTGCAAATAATTTCGGATTCAAGCGATTCTCCTGCCTTAGTCTCCCAAGTAGCTTGGACTACAGGCAATTGCCATCACACCTGGCTAATTTTTGTATTTTTAGTAGAGATGGGGTTTCATTACGTTGGCCATCCTGGTCTCGAACCCCAGACCTTGTTGTCTGCCCATATTTTTAGTAGAGACATGGTTTCATGTTGGCCAGGCTAGTCTCGAACTCCTGATCTTGTGATCCGCCCACCTTGGCCTACCAAAGTGCTGGGATCACAGCTGAGAGCTACTGCGCCCAGCGGGAACGAAGTCATTTTTAAAACTTAAAAAACCTGCCCTGAAATGCTAGTGGGCAGCTATCCTTCTTTGTTCTCTCATTTCTGTATTAATATTTTAGTCTTTTCTGACAAGTGGACATTAAGAAACAGCCTGTGTATAGTAAATTTGGATATGTGTCCAAATATAATAATGGACTTTGCGATGCGAATAATTTCCGTTCAGTGGAACAAATATAAGTTCAATTGTATTGTGTACCTTTATAAAACGCATTTTTGCTTGGAAATAACATCACTAAGATAATTTCATGCATAAAATGTAAGCAATGATTTGAATTATTAACTAACAAAACAGTAAACAAGAATTCATTTTTAAATGAATTTGAAGGTGTCAGTGACGTTAGAAACGTTTGTAGAACTAGCAGAGCGTTAATCACTTAGATTTCAAGAACCATGTGTACTCCAGCGCTTTACGGAAAACGTGGGTGGCTCTGAAAAGAGCCTTTGGTTTCAGGGTCTCGAGATCACTGATGGATTTGACTAGTAATCATTTTACTTGCCCTTGGCCTTATGGTGACTCTCCGTTTTCTTAGGCAGCAGTACGGCTTGGATGTTGGGCAGGACACCGCCCTGTGCGATAGTCACGCGACCTAGAAGCTTATTAAGCTCCTCGTCGTTGCGGATGGCCAGCTGCAGGTGGCGCGGGATGATGCGGGTTTTCTTGTTGTCGCGGGCCGCGTTGCCAGCGAGTTCCAAGATCTCTGCAGTCAGATACTCCAACACCGCCGCCAGGTAGACCGGCGCGCCAGCCCCGACTCGTTCCGAGTAATTGCCCTTGCGGAGCAGACGGTGCACACGGCCAACGGGAAACTGAAGCCCGGCCCTGGAAGAACGCGTTTTAGCTTTTGCCCGGGCTTTGCCGCCTTGTTTTCCACGTCCAGACATTGTGGCTTCCTAACAGAAGAGGCAACAAACCACAGAATGAAGAAAAAAAGTGTGCTCGATGGAGGAATAAGAAGCTAATTATAGTCATAGGTAGAATTGTAAATGGCGCAGTTTGATTGGTTAAAATTATTATTAGAAAAGCCAACCAATTGGAAAGGAAATAAAGTGAAAGCTACTTTAAATATTTGCGTCACTAATACAGTGGCCAATCAGAGCTCGATTTTTTCAATTCTCTATTTGCATAAAAGGCCTATAAAAGGAGAGCCTGTAGACACGGGCCCTTACTGAAATATTTCCTTTCTAATTGTTCTTTTCTTCTGACAACATGCCTGAGCCAGCTAAGTCAGCTCCTGCTCCAAAGAAAGGATCCAAGAAGGCGGTAACGAAGGCGCAGAAGAAAGACGGCAAGAAGCGCAAGCGCAGCCGCAAGGAGAGCTACTCCGTGTACGTGTACAAGGTGCTGAAGCAGGTCCACCCCGACACCGGCATCTCCTCCAAGGCCATGGGCATCATGAACTCCTTCGTCAACGACATCTTCGAGCGCATCGCGGGCGAGGCTTCCCGCCTGGCGCATTACAACAAGCGCTCGACCATCACCTCCAGGGAGATCCAGACGGCCGTGCGCCTGCTGCTGCCCGGGGAGCTGGCCAAGCACGCGGTGTCGGAGGGCACCAAGGCCGTCACCAAGTACACCAGCTCCAAGTAAATGCCTGTGTAGGCACTTTCAAACCCAAAGGCTCTTTTAAGAGCCACTCAAATATCAAATATGGAGCTTTAATACTAAATTCCACCGTTTTCTAATTTGTAATCCAAGATATTTTTGCAGCCGAGGCGGGCGGATCGCCTAAATTTAGGCGTTCGAGGCCATCTTGACCAACAGAGTAAAACCCCGTCTCTACTAAATTACAAAAACGAGACGGGTCTGTTGGTCGGCCTCTGTATTCAGAGCTACTGGTTTAGGAGGGGCTGAGGAAGAACTGATTAACGCGGGGGGCGCAATTTGCAGTGAGCGGGAGATCTCACCTTTGCATTCCATCCTGGGCAACAAGAGTGAGATTTCTGGTAAAAAAAAAAAAAAAATTGATCAAGCGATTGTGTTTGCTGGTGAAAGGTCCTGTAGTCCTAGCACTTTGGGAGGCCGATGCATGAGCTTCGCTTCAGCCCAGGAGTTACGGATTAGCCTGGGCAACACAAAACTCGTCTCTGCAAAAAGTAAAACTAACCGGGTGTGATGGCTTGCTTCCGTACTATCAGTTACTCGGTAGGTAGAGGCAGCAGGAGGATGTGAACGCGCCAGTGAATTCCAGTCTGCGCGACATCGAAAGGGGTAGGAAATGTGTAGGCTTTGGGTCCCTGAAGATCATCCGACAAGTTTGTCTTTTCTGAGCACTGTTGGGGACTGTTGTGAGGGAATACCATGAGTATTGAGCTAAAAATTCTCGTTTTGTTACAGGCACGGTGGCTCACGCCTGTAATCCCAGTACTTTGGGAGGCCAAGGCCAGCGGATCACGCAGTCAGGAAATCGAGATCATCCTGGCTAACAGTGAAACTCAGTCTCTACTAAAAAAAAAAAAAAAAAAAAAAAAAGCTGGGCATGGTGGTAGGCGCCTGCAGTCCGGGTTAGTTGGGAAGCTGAGACTACTGTTAGTAGTCTTAACAACTAAGCTGAGACAGGAGAATCCCTTGAGCCCGGGAGGCAGCGGTTGCAATGAGCCGAAACCGCGCCACTGCACTCCAGCCTGGGCAACAGAGCAAGACACCCGCTCAAAAACACCTCGTTCTGGCTGGGCGCAGTGGTTTACACCTGTAATTCCATCACTTTGGGAGACGGAGGCGGGTGGATCACCTGAGGTCATGAGTTCGAAAACAGCCTGACCAATTTAGCCAGGTATGGTGGCGCAAGCCTGTATTTCCAGCTACTGGGGAGGCTGAGGCAGGGGAATCGCTTGTACCGGGGAAGCAGAGGTTGTAATGAACCGAGATCATGCTGTTTCACTACAGCCTGGGCAAATAGAGCGAAATCCGTCTCAAAACCAACCAAACAAAAAGTAATAAAAGTAAATAAAAATCCTGGGTTTATACTCATTAGCCAATTTTCTTAACTAC